GGAGCTGTCATTCAAAAAACCTGTAGCAGATGCCGGAATCACAACACCTGATGATGGCAGATGAGATTCTGCCAAAATGTTGCTACAACTTTAAAAACACAACTATAATGTGGGAAAATACCTGAACAAAGCTGAATACCATACATGTAAGTACCCGCGAAAACTTAAGAATATATTGGCAAAGGAGGTAATTGCATCTGTCACATGATATAATTCACACAGTAATCCTGAGGAGAAACTTGTGGTAATAGCATAAATAATGGTTGGGAAGAATTTAGACTTAGCTATGAATACAATTCGGACAATCATGAGGACAGTTAGCTCTCTGGAAAACACAAGGGAATCTGAGGCTTAGTTATTCTAATCTAGAAAACAGTCTAAAAGTGAGACTGATCATGAGTACTGGCCTATCATTCATAACAACGATTTTCAAAATTAGCATGTTGCAATACTACTACATTCAGTAAAAAAAAAAAAAGCTACATTGTCCATGTAAACAGATTGCATAACTAATATAAATTCTAAAATGGAAAAGAAATATCAGTAAATTGTGCTCCAGTTAATGAAATCAAAAACAAAAGAGGAGGCAAAATTGATGAACTTACATCGCTGAGCATATTGAAAGCTTCAACTAAGGCAATGTCCAGCATTCCGATTCCTTTGACAAAAAGTTTGTCAAGATGCTCCCTGAAGTGCTGCAGAAGAAACCGAAAGAGGATTTCAAGCAACCTTTTTAGGAAGAGTTTATATTAAAACAATTGATTTATTAAAGTCAAGGAGCTTTTCACATTTGTAAAGAAACAAACTCTTTATAAATTATTTTAAGAGTTTTGCTTCCTATTTCTGTTTTTCTTCCTTTCTTTCTTCCTATTTCGTTTTCTTTCTTCCTTTCTCTTTCCCCCCTTTCTTTCTTGTTCTTTCTTTCTCTCCCCCTTCCTCTTTCTTTCTCTCTTTTTCTCTGCCTTCCTTTTTCTTTCTTGCTGTTTCTTTTCTTTTCTTTTCTTCTCACTCTCTCTCTCTCTCTCTCTCTCTCTCTCTCTCTCTCTCTCTCACACACACACACACACACACACACACACACAAACACACACTTGGTCTGAAATGAACTGAATGATCTGGTGAGCTCCAGTCAGCAGCGGGTGGCAGAAAAAGGAGGAAAGTGGGGTGGCATGTGGCTGCAGCAGGGCCTTGAGCACCCCCCACCCCGACCCTCCCAAAGCACCTCCGCGGTGGCAGTGGCAGCAGTGGGGCCTTGAGCATCCTCCGCCCTGATCCTCCCAAAGGCAAAGCACCTCTGTGTGTGATGGTGGTGGTACAGCAGGGCCTTGAGCACCATCCCAGGCCCCAGCCCTCTGAAAACACCTTCGCAGGTGGTAGAGGTGGAGGACCTGCCCCTGGCTACCTCCTGTAAGCCTCCCTGGCTTGCGAAGGAAGCAAGCAAGCACATGGAAGGGCTCCAGTCAGTGCCACAATCTCCCACTTACTTCACAAGCCACCCTGGCCTGTGAAGGAAGCAAGCAAGCATGGGAAAGGGCTCCAGTCCATACCATGATCTCTGGCTTGCTTCCCAAGCTGGCCTGGCCTGTGAGGGAAGCAAGCGTGATATCACAGCATCAGAGCACTTCCCTGTGCTTGCTTGCTTCCCAAGCCAAAGTATCTCCACATGCAGCGGCAGTGGGGTCTTGAGCACCCCCCCAAAGAACCCTCCCAAAGTACCTCCATGTGCAACGGCAGCGGCAGCCCTGGCTGCCTCCCATAGGCAGCACCATTGCCGCAGCACCTCCGCCCACTTCCTTTCGTTTTGCCCCCAGGAGAAGTGGGCGGAGGCGGCAGAGGCAGCGGAGGAGCTGCGGCAATGGCCCTGCTTATGGGAGGCATCTGGGTCCAGCACCGTACCCATCAGAATATCACTGCAGCAGCTCATTGTGCTACAGCCGCCATGTGGTAGGGAAAGCTGGGAGAGATCCGCCTAGGGGCTTAGCCAGCCAGCCAAGCCCGGGTGAGGCCCAGGGAGCTCCGGAGATGGCTGGACATGGCTTGAGGAGCCCCGGAGATGGATGGGGGAGGCCCAGGGAGCCCCAGAGATGGCTGGGAGAGGCCTGGGAAGCTCCGGAGATGGATGGGCAAGGCTTGGGGAGCCCTGGAGATGGTTGGGGGAGGCCTGGGGATCCCCAGAGATGGCTGGGAGAGGCTTGGGGAGGCCCGGGGAAAGTGAGGGTGGGGCTAGTGCATCTCACAGGCTTACCTGTGAGCAGGCAGATCAGGGCTGCTCAGCTGGGGTTAGGGTTAGCCTAACTCAGCTGGAAGGAACAGTGGAGATGCTCGTGTCGGCTCCAGGATGCTTCTCTCACCTGCTCTTGCTGGGGGAGCCTCTCCCAGCATAGTGAAAAGCTTTGCTCCTGGGCAGCAGAGAGAAACAGGCTGCCCAGGAGCCATTTCCCGAAGAAGGGAGACTTGCAAAAGTTTCACTCTGCCGCAGCGAAAGGCACACAGCAATGGGTGGCCTGGCAGGTGGGCAAAAGCAGGCTGCAGGCATGTCACACAGGTGCACGATGTTGCGCATGTGCGATAGGGATTGGCTGGGCAGGGAGTGGAGAAGTAGGTGGAGAAGGGCTGGGCCAGCCACAGGCCCAATTTTCCAGTTCTCCCAACTACCGGAAACCATAACAACCGGTTCTACTGAACCGGTCCAAACTGGTAGAATACTACCCCTGTGTCTACCACATCATCTTTTAAATAAACCATACAAATTGTTTTTTCTTCCCCAAATACAAAAACCCATGTATCAAAAAGTATTGTTTAGATTTAACAAGGAAAAAAAATATGAAACATAAGAAGAAATTAAATGCTGCTATGCCTAATATTGTATTTGCAAATTTCCTATAAAGAACATTTTTTTTCTGTACTAAAATAATGGATTCATACAGTTCAGTGAATGATAAAATGTTCATATGTTTAGAGGGGGAAGAAATCAGCTTAAGGCCATTTTGAAGCATATGATGCTCCCACAAACTAGGACTGGTTTTCCAAAGCAATTAGTGTAACTTAATGTTCATCTTGACCCAGTAAATTTGTTCATCTCAGTATTTCAAAACATTCAAAGTTTTGTTTAGCTCAATAAGCATTTAATCTACAATGGATTCAGATGCTGTGGAATGGATTTCATATTTTGCTCAAACTAATCAATAAAAATTACTTATATTTCATCATTTTGGAAAACGTTAATAATATTTTCTCTTTCAGTCTGAAGCATATGGAATATAAAATTTGAGAAGGGACACATGCTCAGTTTTAGAAGAATGTCCTTATCAATAGACTTCTGGTACTAATTGTGATATAGCATTTATTTGCCCTTACAGAATTGAAATAAAACCAAGGGAATCCAATTATCTCATCTTAACCTTTAACTCATTGATCCCAAAGGTTTGTTTTTTGTATCATTATATGCAGTAGTGAGATCCTACCTTAGTTGCTACCAGTTCGGTGGGTAATCGTGCATGCGCGCACGCTCATGCCCCTAATGTGCACGCCCCTAATGGGTGCTCACCTAACAAGCCAAACAGCTGAGAGGATGAAGAAACAAAAAGCTAGGAGCAACCCTCCCTCCATGCGCTTTTCTGTCTTTCATCCTCGCAGCTGATTGGAAGCTTTTTTTTTTTTTACTACTAGTTGGATCGAACTGGTAGTGATTTTTACTACTGGTTCACCTGAACCTGGCCAAACCGGTAGCATACCACCACTGATTATATGGTCAAGTCAGCAGGAGCAGAAGTTGTTGTTTTAACCATTTAGCTGCATCTGACTCTTGGTGACTTAATAGTGCTCTTCATAATACTGTGTCGAACACAGCTTAAAGCATTTCAATGTTTTATTTTGTATCAGATTTGATGCGATCAAGCTAGCATGTTCTTTGGTTGCCCCTTCTTCTTTGTCCATTAAATATTCTAGCAACATTGCTTTCTCCAATGAATTTGCACGTATGACATGGCCAAAGTAAATCAGTTATAGGAGTAGAAAACTAAGTGGTTATAACTAAAACCAAATTCAAGTCCACATTTGGCCTAGAAGTTTATTGTGTCACTCTAAATGCCCGCCTACTCCATGGACATCTTGCTGTGAGGAAAATTTGGAGAAGGCTGCCTTGCACTTCAAAATGGAATGGGACACAAACCTAAGAAACCAATACATTAAATAGATGTAGCTGAAATAGATGTAATGTATAGCTGTGGAAACACGTAGCCTGTTCTTGTTGTGGACAAGTCTCTATCTAGCCTCTTTCATTAATATGTTGTCTAAGCTTTTCATTACAATTTTTTGAAAAGAAAGAGAGAGAGAGAGAGAGAGAGAGAGAGAGAGAGAGAG